CCAGCCAAGAATGGTAAAAATTATTATTTAAATTAAATATAGAAACCCATTACCAAAGGTTTTTAATAAAACCAGCTAAAATCTGCTCCCACAGCAGCTGCCCCAGCTGAAGGGACACCCCTGCCCTGTGTGAAGTGGTTTGAAGGCACCAGGGTGGTGGGGTTGGGGGGGAGGGTTAGTTTGTTGTGTTTTTTCCCTAGAGTGGAAAAAAGATTGGAATTTTAATTTCTGAAATGTGAACCCAACTTTCACAGCCCTTCTACCTAAGCGCTCAGCTCACATGGCAGAGTGCCCATCTCACCCCTCCACCAGTGATATGTGTCTTTCTACATGTTGGATGTCTTTGTCAGCACTGCCACCCATCTCCCGTCTCACTCCCAATTTAGGCTGTCATATCCTCAAACAGCACTGCTGAGTATCTGCAAGCTGCTAATATATACTTTTAATCTGAATTTCTAGCCCTGTCTTTGTTAGGAGGAGGAGGGGGGTTGGTGCCTTAACCCGTTAGGTGGTGCAGGTAAATCTCAGGATTGCTTGGGTTCATGGGGTTTACCATGGCCAGATAATGTGAGTTAAAGTTCTAAACTGTCCTGCCTAAAAATGGGTGTAATGGCCTAAAAGTGCCTCTTTTAGCCCAGTGGTGGGGTAACCCCTGTCAGTTACAGGGACTGTAGGTTAGTACCCATGATGGTAGATGACAACGTGTCTGTTACACCCTGGTGTAGGGGAGGGCTCTGGCAGCCACAGAGCAGAGCCCACCTGAGCAGGTGCCTTGGAGTGGAGCTGCTCCACACACTCTGTGCCCATTGTGGGCAGCACCATGGTGCTCCATGCTCTGTTCTGAGCTTTCAGCACTTCACTGGGTGTTTCCTCCACGTTTCTGCACCTGCATGGTGCTGCCTGGGTTTGCAGGCCCTGCCCGTGCTGGGATGAAGGCAGGGCTGCCGGCGTGTGCCTCGTGTCTGGCAGGGCTGCAGCACACCAGCTGCTCCCAGCTCGCTCTGGCCAGGAGGGATGTCATTTGATGCAGGGGCTCTGGCATCTTGGTGAGCAGGGTCAGTTCTGCACCCTGGCACCGGGGCTGAAGAGCTTGCCATGGGGATGAAGAGGAAGGATGAGGCTGAAGGTGCTGCAGGCTCTGGTCACTCGCTCATGCTTTTGTAATCCCTGATGTGGCTGGGTAGAAGCTTATTGTGTGGAGAGCCATGTCACTGTACATGACACCTCAGGGGCCCTCAGCAGCTCCAGGTGGTAGAAGCAGGCAAGGTTCTTAGGTGTATCTTCATCTCTCAGTTCTTCAGAGTTTCTGTCTTGACCAGTGAGCAGCTGTGCTGGGAGATGCTGATGACCTGCCACCCAACGCTTGTGCACAGCCTTTGCTGTTGCTCCTGCTCTTTGGCAGCTCCCTGTTCTGTTCTGTCCTGCCTTCCATGTCTGTGTCACACTTTGTGCCTTTCTTGTTTCAGAAGAACCCAGTGAAGATGTGGAAGGGCCCAATGAAACAGCTGGTGATGCCGAGGAACCTGCAAAGGAGCAAGACAGTGCAGGGGACAAGGACCAGAGTAAATGGACAGGTATGGTTCTGTGATTTAGCAGAGGTGCTGTTTGGTCCCTCGTTTTCTTCAAATGCAGCAAGGGGAGGTGGAAATACCAGAAAACAGTGGTCCACAAAACCGTTGTTAGTGACCACAATGTGGCAGTGTCAGTGTGGCACAAGTGTCACCCGCTGTGAAGGCTCTCCGTAGCTGGGGTTGTGGTGGGTCAGGCTGGGCCTGGGGGCTGCTGAGGTTTGCTCTCAGAGTGGGCTGAGGTTGCTCTGTGTGTTCCTTCCCATCACATACTGGTTCTTAACCTGGAAATGCAGTTTGGCTTGGCTGTAGGTGGATTTTAGTCTCAGTTCATTGTGTGGGATTGTGTGATGCTGAGCACAACCATTTTGTGACGTGTCACAGACAGATGTAAGTTTTGTTTATTGATTAAATCTCTTCAGGGGTCAATAGGGGTCTTTGCCCAAACCTGAAACACTTAAAAAGGCTGATCTGTGCACAAAGATTGTATCTCAAAATATGTAAGGAAAAATGAGGAGCCTACTTTTTAAACCCTTTTCTGTCCAGAAACTCTGAATCTGGATGGTTTAATTTCTTCACCCTGCCAGTGAAATTCCTCACCCAGTGTTGGTGAGCCAAGGAGCAGATCAGAAATGGATCAGAAGTGGGACAGCTCCACGGGGTCTGCAGAGGGAGCAGTGTGGGGAGGGCACAGAGCAGGCTGCGAGCCCGTGGGGCGTGGGACAGCCTTGTGCGAGCCAAGGGTGTGTGATGGGCTGCTGCTGGGCTCAGGCTGCTTCCAAACATGCAACACCACCCTGGGCTTAAAGGCAGGTTGTGTTACAGTAGCTGCTGCCCAGCCAGTGTGCAGAGGAGGCACACACCTTGCTCTTGTTCCTGCTCTTGTCCCTCCAGGAACATGAGCGTGTTGACAGTCCTGCTGGACCTCAGACGTGGGAAGGACAGGAGCTGGGTCAGGTTATGCCTGACAGCCCCAGGAGAGAAGGTGCAGGGACACAATACTGGTGCAGTGGAGCCGTGAGCAGGGAGGGGAGCAGGCAGCTCAGGAAGCTCTGCTTGCAGGAGGAGGAGGCTGTGACCACAGTGTCATAAAGCTAAAGAGCAGGAAGCCTTCTTTGCCTTTCCCTGACTGAGCAGAGCAGCAGCAGCACGGCCTGGGGAGAGCCTGTCCCCAGGCACCAGGGCATGGGTGCAGAGCGCTTGTGATGCTGAGCGCTGTCCCTGACCTGCTGCACTGTGCCTGGGAGCTGGGACACAGTGCCTGGAGCATCCCAGACCTGCCAGCTGCTCTCTCTGGTGCTGTGCAGTGAGGGCAGTGCAGTGAGGGTGCTGGGACACACTGCTGGGTGCTGGGACACACTGAGTGGGACACACAGAGTGGGACACACTGCTGGGTGCACTGAGGGTGCTGGCTGCTGGGACACAGTGCCTGGAGCATCCCAGACCTGCCAGCTGCTCTCTCTGGTGCTGTGCAGAGAGGGCAGTGCAGTGAGCACGGGGCTTGTCCCCGATGAGGGAGTGGCTGGGGAACTGTACACCTGCCATCTCTGCCCCAGATTTCCCCGGGAATTGACCAAACAACTGTTTGTAAGTGCTGATGGGAAGATAATGAGATGAGGAACAGTCGACACAGATTTGTCAAGAACAAATCATGTCAACACGACCCAATTTCCCTTCATGTGAAGAAGGTCCTGTTTGGAGTCAGTGTCTCCTTGGGAAGGCTTTCAGTGCCACTTGTCAGGACAGGCTGAAGTGAAGCGCAGACAGAGCAGGGTAGGTGACAATATTGTACCACTGGTGGCTTTCATTAGTACTGGAAATCTCTCCGTTCCTGAGCTGGGGTGCTGGTGAGGCTGGGCAGCAATTCCAGAAAGCCCAAACACCAGGAAAAACCCAGAACAGTGCAACATTAGTCAGGAGGAGAAAATGGAATGAACAGGCTTATTTGACCCCAGAGAAGACCAAGGAGGAGGACAAGATAAGTCTTGTGCATGAAATGCTTCTGAAAGGAAGGAAATTATTTGTTCTCCATGTTGAGGATACAGACAACAAGACACAAAGGGCTTAATTGAAAGGAGAAAGACTGATGTTAGGTAACAAATTTTTAAAAGTCCTCCTGTACAGCCTGTGGCTTAAGCACTGAAGTGGGTTTTCTGGGAAGGTTCCTCAGAGGTCTTTCAAGAAGATCGTAGAGGAGCTGCCATCAGGAGTAGGGCAGGCTCAGTCTGTCCTGCTTTGGAAGGACTGGCTGACCTTAGGAGAAGCCTCTGAGCCAGGTGGAGAAGCAGGAGAGGTGTGGGCTGAAAGCCAGGGTTGGGGCATGTGAAAGGGGAGGGGGACAGACTTTTTTGCTGCTCACCATCTGCAGTCTGATCGTTATGTTCCTCAGCAATTTACTCCCCTTTGTGCTTTGGTTTCCTCACTGTGCCCAGGGGATTTATTTCTTGCACTTCCTTCAAGGTTTGCAGGCTCTGTAAGGAGACCCTGAGTTCCTTTGCCCCAGCCCAGGGTGAGTGTCTGCACCACGGCGGGCACAGTCCGGGTGCAGCCTGTGCTGGGCTTAGTGTCAGCACCAAGGGGAAAACCTCTTCTCACTGTAAGCCTGTCAGAGCGTCTCAACTGCAAAATAAATGCAGTGATTCATTCTTTGTATTTAAAATGCAACAATGTGAAGCAGAAACATTTTTTTAGGTGATACTTTTCAATTGAATATACTTGGCCAAAACTCCATCCCATAGAAGGACTCATTGGATCTTGATTTTTACAGAAATCTCTGTGGTTTCTGGAAGGTTCTGGAAGATGGCAGTGCCTCCACACTGGAGCAGGGAGATGCTGAGTGCCTGATGACTCAGTGTTAGACATTGTCTCGTCATGGCTAATGTGAGAGTCACCACAAGCAAACCAGCAAGAGGGAAAGGAATTGTGGCAGGTGCCAATTCCCTTTCTAAGGCAGGATGTAGACGATGGATGCTCAGCTGAAGCCCTGCTCGGTGCAGCACAAGGCCTCTCAGCTGGGAAGTGGTGCTGGTTCGTGTCTCTGATGGAGAGCCCCAGCTCCAGCAGTGACCCAGCTACCAGAGGCTTCCTTAATGCACTGTCCGTTGGGTACACGGAGAATATCAGGGGTTTTTCCACAAAAACAAGAAACAAAGTCTACTTAAAATATAGATTGAGATGAAATCTTTCTGGAGGATTGGCCTGAAGGGCTTTTATTTTTGTTAATGATTTTTTTCTTTTTTTTTTTTTTTTTGTCCGTGATGCTCACCTAACAGAGCAATTAGTGCAATGGACCGTCCCTGATTCGAATCCGTGGTAGATTGCTATTAAAGGAAGTATTAATGGGCTGCTGAGAGCTGGGAAATTGTTGCAGAAAAGTGTGTTTATGGAGTATGGTGCTGGCAGGCATGATTTCAATTGGATTTGACATGTTTAACATAAATGTATACTGCACAGCTCCTGCAGTTTATGAATAATTCCTACAGGCCGACTGCCTTTCTAATTACTGAAATTGAAAAAAACAGGTCAGGCACATCCTGACGGAAATCTATTCCTGCTCCTCCCCCCGGCTGCTTTTTGCAGCTTTTTTTTAATATCTGGCGTTTGTGGAGCACTTAATGGCCGGGATGTTGTGGGGCCTGGGCGGCTGCAGGAGGGGCCCAGGGCGCGGCGGAGCCGCTCGGCCCCAGAGCCAGGCAGAGGGCAGGAGGCGGCACGGGGAGCTGCCTGCCCCGAGTCTTTGCGAGGATGTGTGAAACACAAAGGGCTCCTGGGGGCAGCTGCAGCCCAGAAAGGCGGCTGGGCTGGGTGCTGAGCGCGGGCAGGCCGGGCTCTGCCAGCCTGGGGTGCTGCAGGAGGGGTCTGCCCGGCAGAGCCCCCTCCAGAGGCCCTGGTGCTGCTCGGCATCTCTGCCGGGTGCTCCGTGTCCATGTGGAGCAAGGCAGGGAAGCCTGGTGGCGGCTGGAGCTGCTGCATATGAATATTTAATAGTAATTCAGCTGTGGGTACTCGCTGCAGGTGGGAAGGTATGACACAGCATTAAAAAAGAAATTATTCAGCCATTTTTGGGGCTGTGAAGCAGGAGTGCACTGAGCATGGGGCATTTACCTGTGAGCTGAGGTACTGTGAGGTACAGAGCTGAGAAACGCTGCAGGGCAGCCGGTAGTGCACAGTTCTGATGGTGTGGCCTCAGCAGCTGATGGAGTGGAGGCTCCTTCAGGGAGTGGGGAATTAAACAGACAAGGTTTGGGGAAGAAGTGTTGGCTGTGTGTTACTGAGGGGTGGCAGTGCTGCAGCAGCTCTGGGTGCCCCGTGCCCTTCCCCAGCAGAAGGTGCGGGCTCTGGCCATTCCTGCATCAGGGCAGTTTCTGGAGAATGGATGAAGCAGATGAAGTAGCCCTGGATTTCAGGGGACACGCAGGTGCTGTGAGGGCACAGGGGGCAGAGCCGTGGGCGTGGAAGGCACAGGGCTGTGTGGCACACTAGCACAGTAGCAGCTCCCACTGCTCTGAGGACTTGTGGAGCTGAGTGATGGCTCCAAGAACACACTGAGGTGATTTGAGGAAGGAGGCACCACCAAATGCAGAATGGTATTTTCCATCAGGCAGTGAACTCGCTAAGAACTTCCCCAGGCCAGCAGCTGGACTTCGTGGCAAGGAGTTTTTTGGAGGCTGGTGGTGTTTAAATCAATGGCAGTAGCAGAAACCCCACTGTAAATTTCTAGGGCAAGTGGCAAGCTGGTTTACGGAATGCAGGGAGATGAGAACCTCTGGCTTACGGAAAGCAGCATGAATTAATAATCATTTAATTGGCTTTTCCATTATGTTGCTTGGTTGGAAGATGGAAGTTTAGATGAAGGGGCTGTCAGTGATACTTTAGCTAAAAGAATCTGATGGGTAGGAGGTGGGTGGTGACTTCCTTCCCACCAGGATGGAGAGCAGCAGTTCAGGGGATCCGTGCTGGCTTTGCCTCTGGAACCAGCAAAGGAAAGGCCCCCACTGGCAAGGAAGTGCCCACCTCACCTCTGGGGTGTAGCCAGGGAGGATCTCTCCTCCTCCCAAGGAAAGCAGAAGCTGCTGAGAAGAGTGAGAAGAGCAGCAGATCTCCAAAGTGCTGTGGCAGCCCCACCCCTTCACACTTGGCTTTAGGGGACATTTGTTGGGAAACACAGGTCTCAGTGAATCTGAACTAAATCAATTTAAAGAGCCAAAGCAATAACAGTACTATCTGATATGCAGATGTACATCATACTTTAAACCAAATTCCTGTGTCTGCCCTGCGAGGCCTGGGTCTGGAAGCAAGATGCTGGCGCAGGTGGTGTCCCCGTGTGCTCACTGTCACTGAGCCCTTCCAGACCATGGCCTTCGGGATGTTCTGAGCTCAGGACATTCTGTCCTGGCCTCTCTGCACACACAGAAGGTCCCAGGCTATGCTAAGAGTTCTGCAGGCAGACGCCAAGCCATGTCCTCATTTCTCCTGGTAGCAGGGAGTTCTTAATTCCTCTGATCATCTGTGATGTGGACTGAATGTGTCATTTTGTGCATTTGACTGTTTATCAACAACAAACTTCAGTCTCGGTGTTAAAATTCCCAGCTGAGCTGTCAGCTCAAAAACTAATACTTAAAATATCCTATGTGCAACAAATCAGTTATTCTTGGGTCTGGACAATCATCAATAATTGCAGTTTTGAAGGATTACGGTTATGGGGTTGGACTAAGTGATTTAATGAAATTGGACACTTAGGAGGTGGTACATTTTAATTACCTGTTACTAATTCTAAGCAGGCTGCTTCACAGTAGAAAGGAGAAAATACCCTGCTGTGACTCCCTAGGTTGGAGCTGGTGTTCAGCAGCCTGGGGGAGCTGATGGTTGGGCTGAACTGAGTCACTGCATCCAGAAGCACTCCTGGTGAGCAGCTGGCAGTGCTCAGGGAGTGCCCAGGGACGCAGTGTGACCAACGGGAGCTACAGTCGCCCCTGGACAGGTCTAAAGGGACCAAAGCCGTGGCTGTCCCTGCCACCCTGCCCAGTGCAGGTCTAGAGCAGGACTGCCATGGCTGTGCCACCCACCCTGGCAGGCCTGGGCTCCCCAGCTGCTCTTGCCAGCACCCAGCAGCCTGGTGGGGCTGGCCTGTCAGTGTCCAGGCTCACACTGAGGGCTGGACAGTGCAGCCGTGATCAGGCCCCTGACAAAGGCCACTCACATCACACAGGGCTCGGGCAGGGCATTTTAAGGCAGGGTGTTCCTTCACCCACCAGTGCTGGCTCTTGGTGGGTCTGTGCCCCCCAAACCACCAGAAGGGACTGTGTTTTTCAATGGAGGAGCAGCAGAGTGGTGCCGTGTTCCCAATGCTCCAAGCACATTTATTACTGGAAGCAGGGAAGGTCAGCTCTGGCCCTGCAGACATCTTAAACCCATTTCCAGTTCTGAGTCTGGGTTCAAGCAGCAGCCCATCGTTCTGTGAGGGCAGAGCAGGGTCTGTGATGGTGTCATCAGTCAGCACTGACACTACAGGCTCCTTTCACCCCTGGTTTGGCTGTTTTTGTGGAGTTGGCAGCAAGCAGAGTGCTGGGTTGGTAGCCCAGGTGCAGCCAGCACTGTCCATGCACACGTGGAGGTGCTGCCCAGCCAGGCATGAAGCACCAGGCATGCAGCCAGCAGTGCTGTGGGGAACGAGGCCACTTCCAAGCCCATTCAGTATGGACAGGCCTACCAGGAGAAATTCAGCAGTCCCAGATCAAATCCTCTGATCCCTGCCTCCCTCTGGGAGTACCTTTACCTGTGCTTGTTTTCCCTCTCCCAGAACTTATTTTGCCTCTATTCAGCTGAATGCAGCGATGGGGACTGGCAGGGAAGGTAGTTGGGAATGTTTGGAAATACAGCTCGTGGCAGTGCACAGAAGGCTCTTTGGGAAGGAAGCTGTTTGCTGGGATCTGACTCTTGGTGGTAGCATCTGAAACAAGGAGCAGATACCAGCGGGTTCACAAGTTGAGTGGGAGAAAGGGGGAAGAGTGTGGGGGACTGGCCTGAGAACGCTACAGCGCCTTGTTAATCGGCAGCTGATCCATCATATTAAATATCCAGCTGTCAGATATTACCTTTCAAGTGAAAATGAATAACTCCCATTAAGGGCAAAATGGGTTTGAAGTCGATTCGAGACAGATTAAAGTACCGTTATGAATGTGTGTTCAGGGAGGAGGAGACGGGGGCTGTGTATAATATACTTGTCCTTACAGTTTTTAAATAATAGATGTCCCACAAATTTATGTACTGAAGGCAGCCAGGGTTCGGGGGAGGAGAAAGGTCAGGGATGTGCTTCTCCCAGTGCCACAACTCATGGAGTGTTTTGCTGTTGACTTTAGGGCTCATTTGCCTTCATCGGTTTGGCTGAACAAAACAGCCTTTTCTGGGATTATCACAGTGGGAATGTTTGGGTCCCCTTGGCCGGGTCCTGCCAAAATTGGGATTTTGGCAGGACCATGTGCTAGGAAGCACCAGATATGCTCATTCCTCTGAAGGCATGGGCTGAGCCAGCCAGAGCCGTCCCAGCAGCGCCACTGCTGCCATGGGATGGGCTGGCAGCCACAACCACCAGCCCTCTCCAGAGCAAATGCATTCCAGGGTGTCCCTGTGTAGAATGTCCTGGGTCAGCCAGGGCTGAGAGTTCCACCTTGCCAAGCAAGTCCAGCTGCTCCTGGAGGTGACACGTGGGCCTTCACCGTCTGGCCAAGCATCTGTGTGCGCAGTGCAGCCTGCAGGTTGTAAGCATCCCCCAGAGACAGCTGAGATCTCTCTCTGCTTCTGGCCACCAGTGACACAGCTCCCGTGCTCCGGGAGATCTGCAAGAGGGAGCTGGTTGTGGCCTGGGGTGCACTGAGGACATAGGTCAGTCCTCAGAGTCATCCTCCCCCAAGTCCTTAGGGTGTGTGTCAAGCAGTAAATGGAAGCCCAGCCACCGTGCAGCCCAGGCTCTCTGGGGTGTGCTGATGGTCCTGGCTTTCTGTTGCAGCACCAGCCAGCCAGCCAGAGAAGGAGCTGACAGAGCCTCCAGCGTCCTCCAAGCGGATTTCGTTCCCCAGCAGCTCTGAGTCACCTCTCTCCTTTAAGTGGTCAAAAACTTCAGAGGAGACCAAATCAGAGCAGGTAAGGTGGAAGAACCCATCTCTCTGTGCAGGTAATATGTTTCCAGTGTGCCAAAAGCAAAGAGTAAAATGGGAGGAAGAGGATGAAAGGCAGTAACTGGTGGTAGAAGGCATCAAATTATTGAAGCCTGTCTGTAAGAGAGGAAAGTAGCACGTGGAAGAGCTGTGTGATTAATTTGTCTGCTCTGCAGATGTACCAGTGTCCGTACTGCAAGTACAGCAACACAGACGTGAACCGGCTGCGGGTGCACGCCATGACCCAGCACTCGGTGCAGCCCATGCTCCGCTGCCCCCTCTGCCAGGACATGCTCAACAACAAGATCCACCTGCAGCTGCACCTCACCCACCTGCACAGCGTGTCACCCGACTGCGTCGAGAAACTCATCATGACGGTAAGTGGCTGTGTGGGCAAGCATGGCTGCTGCCATCCC